TGGTTATGCTTGCCGGATGGCACGCCGGACAATTCGAACTCCCAGTAACCTGTGAGATTGACAAAGTGCAAGTTGCACTTTTGCACTTTTGAGATTGATAAAAATGCAAGTTGCACTTTTGCACTTTCGAGACTGACAAAAGTGCAACTTGCATTTTTGCACTTTCGAGACTGACAAAAGTGCAACTTGCATTTTCGCACTTTTGAGACTGACAAAACTGCAAGTTGCAGTTTCGTACTTTTGAGATTGACAAAAGTGCAAGTTGCACTTTTGTTAATGTTGAAATGAGGATGGAGGGAAACACAATTTTCCAGTGGTTTGGGTCCACTGGCAGTGCTTGCAGTGTCCAGTGCGTGTGGCAGGGTGGCCCGGTCAACACAATAGAGTGTGAGAACAACCTGTGATTAGACTCAGTCCTCAGAACATCAATGCTCATGATGCTTGCATGTCAAGACTTTGTGTGCCATGACCTTATGCGCGTCTCAAGTCCTCGCCACTGGGATGACTGAATCAAAGTTGAAGCCTGCCACGAGTGGAAAGCTCAACATCCCATCTCCGGTCAACTGTGGTTGCGGTTGCCGGTAAGGGCCTCGAAACTCTTCAGAATTCACAGTACAAAGAATGCAGAAAATACTCACTGCAGCAAACAGGTTTACTATATCAGAATATAAGTGTTCTAATATATAGTTTTTGTCACGCGGTGAGGATCATTGTCTTGTGTGATGGGTGACGAACCAGGTCTCAAGTGCATTTTGGGGCGGCGTGTTGGCATAGCGGTCCAACACATCTGGCCTAGGTTAAGTCCGGCCATTCGGGGGTTCGAACCAGTGGATTGCAGACACTGACTTCGGAAGTCAGGTCATTTCCGAAGTCAGTGACTGTCACCGCAAGTCACAAAAAGTCATGACCTTCAGTGACTTGACTTAGTTATCCGTAGATCAGTTCTCACACCGTATATAGTAATATTAAATCATGTGATCGACATCAGTCGTGTGTGAGAAACGCGCCTCAGGTACGACCAAGGTGCAACTGCAGCAACACTGAGGCTGTAGCTTGCACCACAGGTGCCCAATCTCCGAAGTAAATACGTGGAATAGTATAATTAATATATAGTGTAATTTGTGTGCAAGCAGGATGTATGAAATTTCATGTGAAGTTGGGAATACTACATTACATCAAAGTGAATATGACATAACTCTGAGGTATGTCGAGGGCTGGTAGTGACGCCATAGCTGCATGTATGGCAGGCAGATATAACCTATAGCAGTGTGTCTTTGATGGAGATGACAGAAGTTTCATTGCACCAGCAATTAATACTACATATATGATTCATATAATCTAGATAGTAGATAGGTTAATGAATGTGATCTGCATGAACATCATTTGATTAATTATTGTGGAGTGTCTGTCTCTTTTCACCTTGCATAAATCAATGTTCTTCAGGCAATGATGTCTATGCTATGACATTGATTCTATGACGTTGATGTAGCACTTCGACTGAGAGAGAAAGAAAAAAAAGACAAGTCTTGAACTATCAGAGCATTGACCACAGATATAAGCCATTAGCAAGGAAAGGAGAGCTGCAAGAAAATCCCCACCAATCCTCTACTCCATGCCCAGGACACAGGACGTCTTGTGGTTTCATGAATACGTTCTCGAGCATCCTGGCTGGGCGAATGGTCGACAAGCTGGCTCGCATTCGAGTGGCAAGCCAAAACTCTTCTGTCGACTGTGTTTGCCCGAGCTTGTTTGAATTGCGCAGGAACAGGACAGAAATGAGGTCAAAGACGTGCCCACCAACGCTCGGTTCAAGAAATTGAAGATGCCTGTATGTAGTAATTTAGCTCTCTCAGAAAATGCCAGTGCTAACGAATATATTATTTCAAGTATGGATTGATAACACCCGTACTCATCCTTGGGTTTGGTGCACACCTTTGACTGCACTCAACCACTTGAGATGCTGCAACTTGCAGCCCATGAATGTAAAAGCCCGAGCTGAACACGATGCCACAACTGTCTATCACTCTGCACCTTCCTCATCACTAAAGAGGCAAGCTCTTCGAACTGCTAAACACCTCCAAGCCACCTCAGGTACTGGTTCTAGCCTGCAGCAGCACGCTGTAATGTTGAATGTAGTTGAGGTTTTTTTCTTCTCATTGGTATCTACATGTATCTAATAAGTTAATAGCTCAATACTACATGCCACAGCTGCTTTTCTACAATGATGGCAAAGGGTATTTGCAGCAAAATGATCTATCAAGTGGCCCTCCTATTGCTCCTATCAATCAATCTAGCCAGCCCAATCTCAGTGTCAATACATCTTCATTATCTAACCCAGCAAGTCGCACCGGCTCTCCATCACTCTCAGTACTTGGGCTTTTGCCAGCACCTGGTCCAAGCCCTTCTGTACTTACGGAGAATTTATCGCAGCCTGCTAGTCCATGGGGGATGCATTATACTATGCCTAGTCTGCCATCAACATCTCGCCCTGTCTCCCGTACTTTAACTGGTGTGGCCAGCGGACCTCTTTGCCCTGACAGTATGTCAGACTGGTCTAAAACCCAGCAGAAGTTGTTTGAAAGACATCTGGCTCGTCTCACTGCATTGGCAGGGTTTCCATTTTCCTGGGTCAACAATCATGAGCTGCATGCCTTGTTTCATGAATTTATTCCTGGCACAATTTTTTTTTTCAATATACAATGGCTCAGAGACTTATTCCTCAGGCAGTCTCAGACCTTCGTAATGCAGTAAAGCAGGCTGTCAAAGACCATGAATCAACACTACAGGCCAATGGCTGGACAGGTCTGAATAATTGTCATCTTCTTGCCTTTATGATAACAATTCAGAAAAAGGTATGCCTCATACATTTATCTCAAGTAATCTGGTACTAACACAAATAAAGATCCATACAGTTCAAGTTAGCGACATCTCAAAAGAGAGAAAGACTGCAGATAATTTCCTCAGAATACTTGAGGAAGTTATCAAGAATGTGAACGAGTCCTGGGTCTCTCAGGTTATTGCTGTAGTTACTGACGCTTCTGGAGAGTCTCGCAAAGCTCGGCAGCTTCTGGGCATCAAATTCCCCTCAATGATAGTTCTCGATTGTTACGCGCACCAGGTAAGCAAGATATTTGAGCAATCATAATATCAGCTTATCTGTTCAAAAGATAAACCTTATTGTGGGCAATTACTTCAAGTCTCGCTCTGATCTATTTGTCTATACCAATCTCGCAAACAAATTGATCAGCTGGCTTCGAGGGAAAATCATTTTCCTGGCCCTCATCAAGGAATTTCAGAAGAACACTGGGGAATCCGCTACTGCAGTTATTTGGGCGGTTCTGACTCGATGGACGGCTCATTTTATGGCGTATAAACGCCTTCTTGATCTCAAGTTTTGTCTGATGCAGCTCTCTGGTGCTGAGCTTGCATGTAAGGATAAGAAACTCATTATGACAGGTGATAAAAAATCAAGAGAAAAGGCAGAGTCCATGCTCTGGTTGATTCAAGATCACCCAAATACTTTCTGGCCTGCAATTCAGAAGTAAGCATTTATTTTGCTCTCATTTTATGTCAACTGAGCAACTCTACATTAATTCAAGGGTTCATGATCACCTTGAGCCTCTTGCGATTGCAGCCAATATCACCCAGGCTGCTCAATGTCACCTCTATACAGTCTTGCTGATGTTTGGCTATCTCATCAAAAAATATCGCAAGCTTCTGTCAAGCGATCCTGAGGGCAACAAAGCGTGCACGGCCATCATCTCGAGCATTGAGGCTCACTGGTCCAGGGCTGATCAAGAGTTATTCATTGCTGCTATCATTCTCAATCCACTTTTTGTTCGCAAGCCATTCGCTCCCAGCACTCATTTGAGTGTTGCTGGGATAATTATGCTCTTAGAACGCTTGTATTGCCGTCTCTTTTCCTGCAGCTCAGCCCCTCCTGGCTTTAGCCGGCAGGTGAGGGATTATCTGCATGGTAAAGGCAAATATACATTTCTATTTCAATGTGCTGATCGTGCATTAGCTGATGCACAACATCTTGTAAGCCCTCATTACTGCTACAACAGCACAAAGCTGACAATTAATCAAGGATGAGAATCCAAAGTCACTCAAGCTTTGGGCAGATATTAAGGTTGAAGGCTCAGAATCCTTTCCTCTCATTCAACTAGCCTTGTGGATCCTCAATGTCACAACAAACTCTGCGTCCTGTGAACACCTATTCAGTGCATTTGGGACTATTCTAACAAAACTACGCGCCAGCCTTGGAACTGTAACACTGCAGGGACTTGCAGAACTAAAGATGATGATTAGAGACAAACACCGGGACAAGAAATTGCTGGCAAAGCAGCGCCTCTTTCAGTCTATGCAAGAGCAAACACGGGATAACTACTTCCTTCCTATTTCTACATTCCCTCCACCATCTCCCATTGCTTTGGATGAGGCGGCTACACCACCCTTTACTGAGCTAAATAGCTCAGAAGAACCTTCATCACCACAAGCCTAGGACTTGACAATTGGCAAAAATGCATCTCCCTCACCCTTGACTGACAGTTTTTGTCTTATTGCCCAGCAGCATATTGCTCAGGCTGTAGAGGATGAATCAAACACTGAACCCGTCAGGCAAGGCTCTACTATTCCATCCCTCATTCCTCTCCAATCACTTTTTAACTTTGACGAGCCTATTTGGTCAACAATCTATTGCTGTGGTGCCACAAAGCAGTTCAAGGATGAACTTGCACTGTATGAGATATTGGACTTAGATTCACAGCCTGATAATTCTGAAACTAAAGGGTCATGTGTAGATGTAACTTTAGATGATACTATAGAAGATATTCTATTGCCATGAATGTAGATACGTCAAGTATACTACATCTACCTACACGAGACATACAGATAGGAGTCTATTTATCTTTGGTTATGCACATTACCCGGCCCTGAGACGTGTCTGACACTGCGGTCACCAAGTCAGTGCCATTCACTGACTTTCAATGACTTTCAATGTCTGACACTGTCAGTCAGTGTTGGATGCCTGACTTGCAATCCACTGATTTAATTAGTGGTTTGCTTATATAAATGCAAGGTGCATTCATGTCAATCTTGAAAGTGCAAAAGTGCGAAAATGCAAGTTGCACTTTTGTCAATCTCAAAACTGCGAAAATGCAACTTGCACTTTTGTCAGTCTCGAAACACTCCTACCCAGAGGGGCCGGTCGTGTTGCGTCGCACTAGCATTACAAAAGTTGTACTCGCCGCATGGAATTCGGACTCCGCCGAATCACCAAAACTTTCAAGCGACTTACACGACCGACCCTCTGGCAAAACTTGTAGGTGGCCGATCTCGGCTTCACTTGCCGAGTGGCAAGCTCGCACGGCATCACTCGGCTAGTTCATTTACTGGTCCTCGCCGGGAATATGGTTGGTCACGAGAAACACGTTGAACTACTGGCTCAAGACTACCTAACTCGACAAGAAGCACGCGACCATGGCAGCCCATACTCCGCTGAAGTACACAATCCCATCAATGGAAGAGATGACTGATGTTGCATCCCACCACTTTGGTTTCAAGCCTTGTCTATGGCAGATCAAGAGTGCGCGAGCTCAGCTAGAAGGTCGACAATTCATCACCATGTCACCCACCGGTTCGGGCAAGACTCTCACCTTTTGGTTGCCTCTCCTGTTCAACAATGGAGGAATAACCATAGTGGTCACGCCATTGAACGCGTTGGGGAACAAGAATGTGAGGGAGCTGGAGGATATGGGCATCAAGGCAGTGAATCTGACGCAAGCAAATGCATCTGATGAAGAGTTCAAAGTGAGTGATAGGCATTTTCATCAATGACAGTGACTCACCTTAGCTTAGAACATTGAGAACCTTCGTTACCAAGTTATCATTGTCAGCCCCGAGTTATTGATCAATGACAATCGGTTTGATCACCTATGGACTGTCAAGCAGTTCACAAACAAGTTGTTCAGTGTTACGTTTGATGAGGCTCACTGTATCTGTCAGTAGGGCGGGACTTTTCGATCGGAGTATGCAGAAGTTGGTGCCTTGCACTGGCTGCTCCCCCGGCACGCAATCATCCACGCAGCCTTGGCTACAATGCCGCCGCACGTCCTAAAATCAGTAAAGTCGACACTTCAGCTTGATCCTAGTAAAACGACGGAGGTCCGACGCACCAATGATCGCCCAAACACGCACCTAATGGCAGTTGAGATGATTGACCCACTCAGGAGCTGTCATGCCCTCAGTTGCGCAATTGACTTCAAGGCTGGCCTACCTCCGAAATTCATGGCATTCGCAAACTCGCGAAAGGAGACTAAGAAGCTATGCAAGTACGCACGTTCGCAAGCTGGTCCCGAGAACGAGCATCAATATGTATGGTTTCATGCTGGGATGAGTGAGGTCTTCCGAGAGGAGATGATGGAGAAGCTGCAAAATGGAGAAGTGTGGGGAATTTTTGCGACGGACGCGGCAGGCATGGTGAGTAAACTATCCTGAGCTGTGCGAGTATTTGCTGATATGGTGATACAGGGGCTGGACTTACGTGGTGTAGAGCTCGTAATCCAGTGGAGGTATACACCCTCATTATGCACACTGCTGCAGCGCTTTGGCCGCACCGGACGAGGACCAAATGAAGAAGCCACTGCGATTTACTTTGTTGAACCCCAGTATACCGACCGTTATCGGCACCAAGCCGAGGGGAAGGCAAGGGCGAGGGCTACAAAAGCGAGAGAAAAGGCACTGCAGGTACAGGCTGGGCAATCAGCCAAAACAGGCACGCAAATGGGTAAACGGAGGGCCGTTGATGAGTGCGAGAGCAAAGACAGTGATGAGGGGGAGCTAGACAGGGGGGCTGGGCTGGCGCAGCGGCCTACAAAGCGGCCAAGGATCACAGCTGCAAAGCAAACACGTCAGGCCAATGTAACAGGTGTCTGCGCACCTGATAGGTCTGCTGAATGCAGTCCTGCATGTTTTGAGTTGAACTGGGCGCGATCGGGTGATGAGGTAGAGGAGGAAGCTATGGACAACTTCATCAATGCACGGTACCGTGGGTACTGTCTACGAACAGTGACAATGGCCTATTTTGGTGTCTTCAGTGAGTTCTGATGCTGATGCGGTAGCAAGGGGATTTACTCACAGCCACTTGAGAAGAAAACAGTGATAAAGCGTGTCATGCAGACTGCCTTCGGTGTGCACCTCAGCCATCGCGTCTTTGTTGTGACGCTTGTAACACAGGCTCTTTCCTCCTCGTTACGCCAAAGACTCAGCCGCCAAAGGCACCTTGGGGACCCAACAAGTTCAAGGCTCCGCCATATGACACAAACGCACGCGACAAAATGCTGAAACATGATCTTGAGAAGTGCGGCCTCAACCAACGTCAGGCAATTGGAATTGGAGGCGAGGATTTATTTGGGGCCCAGCTGATCATGTGCGACAGTGTATTAGATCACATTGTCAACTGTGTTCATTTTGGCAAGATTCACAATGTTTCCTCATTCCATGTCCATGCCTCCTGGCGGTACTCCGACCAGTGGGGTGAGGCTGTGTTTAACATGGCGGTACTCCCCCATTTTCCCTCACCCGACGATGCTCCCAACCCCAAACCACTTGGCCCTACCACTGTATCAAATCAGCCAGGGTCAAATGCATCCGAAGCTGTTGAACACCCAGTCAAAGCCAAGCCCACACGTCGAGCCCATAAGTGCAGGGTCTGTAATCAGATAGGCCATATAGGCAAGTACTCTATTCTCATTACTACAGTTTACCAGATTGATCCATATCTATAGCGTCAAATAAAAAATGTCCTCTTTACATTCCGAAGGAGCGGAAGAAGAGAAGTACACGCAGCGGCAAGAACACGCACCCGACTGCAGATGAGAATGCGAACACGAGTGTAAATGGGCAGGAGGGTGATTATGCTGAGGGGAGTCACAGTGTATAATGTACGAGGTGAGCTACTACGCTATGAGGTCATCTCCTGTGACCTCAGGAGGTGCTTCATCGTCTCTGTCACTGTCCTGTTGCTGACTGATTTTCTTTCCTTGTATCAGTTGTAAACCTGTAATTAATGCATCCTCAATCACATGGGCTGATCGGCCTGCCGTTGATGTGTAAACTTTTGTCTCCTCCAAGTAAGCTTGCAGTTTCTCGATTAACAGTGTAGCGTCTGGAGCTGTATGACCCAGTGTACGGTTCTTCAAGAAGAATGCCGTCTCCATGATGACGTGGCAGTTCCGGTATACCTCAATTAATGGTGATTGCGTTATGACATGGTCTATTGTTCGGTTTGAGCCTGATCCAGCATAAATCACCTAGTGCGTGCTCATTTTTTGATCCTTATCTCTTGTATCTTGTTTGCTTACCTTGGTATACAAATTATTTCTCTCCACCAACCAGTCTACACCACGGAATGCACCCGCTTTTCCTGTCGGGTTACATAACATGTTCAAGCGTACAATACGGCTGAAGAGGGACATTAACATGGACTGTATTACAAGGGGTCGGACTCACCTAAGGTCCGGAGGATAAACATCCAGTAAGTTTGACCAAAACTGGCTCATTTGCGCTGCATACTTATGCTTTCCGGTTGCGACAAATAGATATATCCATGGTAGAAATGATGCCTCGAGACGGCCCACATCACCCGCATTCATAGTCTGACAAAGATCAACATAGAGGAGCTCATCCCGATTTTGTAGGCTTTGATTTTCGAAGGCAATGTCCCTTTGAGTCTTCGGAGCCGCATGCATTTCCCTCAAACTGTCTGCAATCGCCACATATTTCTCTACTATCGACTCCGACATTGACACAAGAAAGTCCCACGTTGGCTTTGACAGTGCCATCTCCTCCAAAGACGTTCATTCGGGGTTATACGAGTGCGCCTCTTGAAGCCAACACTCGAGAATTGAAGCATGTAAGTCCTGATGTATGACATCATGTTGGGACCTGAACTTGGGTTTTTTTTAGAAGGCGGCTCGTTTCTTTTGGCCGCATGATTCCGAGGTGCTGAAACATGCTATTAGGGTCATCTCGGCTCTCTGGAGGAAGAAGATGGATTCTCCACACCGCATCAGTGCATGCCATGCGGAAGTGGAACATTCCAGGTATGAAGATGATGTACTGGAACCTGTTCATCGGTGTTTTCTCGATCTGGCGCGAATCTCGTACAGAATCGAGCCGTTCTTTTGTGAGTAAGTCGCCATGAACAAGAATGACATATTCGGACATGTCCTGTAGGTTTGGGTTATGAGCATTTGAGCGCTGGTCAGTCCCAGCTGGGGGCATTTCCCCCAGACCACTCTGGCGCAGTAAGTGCCCCATAACCTCCATATTCCCGTCTGCAGTTGACTGTTTGATTTTCATAGA